GATTTTACTTGATAATGGCACGCGAGTTGTACTTAATATTATAGCAGTAAAATTTACTTAAAATTTACTTGTGCAAATTGTTACGAGGATTTTATTAAGTAAATCTTACAAGTAGTTTTTTTCAGTGTACCGTACATGTGTGCAATTATGTACACAAAAAATTATACACAGATACACACACATACATTATAAGTATGTGTTGCATATATATATATATATATATATATATATATATGTGTGTGTGTGTGTGTGTGTGTGTGTGTGTGTGTGTGTAATTTCTCTGTTACATTTTCTATCTGCGTTGCCTTATGTAAATGTTATAAAACACATACTGTAAGCAGAATAACTCCAATCACCCATCGGGTGCCATATGAGAGTGCGTTATTTCCTATATTCAATCACCTCATTGTTTCCGTGTGGGAACCCTTTCATCAATTCGTATATATTTATTGCATAATTATCATCATGTCATTACAGCTCGCTATATAGGGGTGCAGAAGTGGTGATTAGGTGTAATATTATCAGGAGAAGAGACCATGAACTACAGATGGAAGATTGAGCATGCCAATCATAACACACATGCATAACTGCCAGGCTGAGTGTGATGTTAAATTAACATTTTAGGATTACATCACAAAATTTTACATCATACTTCACAGTGATGATTGTGTTTTTTTTTTTTTCTTTTGTCTTACAGAAACTCTCTTTGAATTTTTAGACTCCAAATAATTTTGTTCATATTAATAAAAGCATTGTGGCTTGGAAGTAGCCTATCTGAGGATGTTAGTCTGTGGGATTTATGAACACACTGAAATGTGTCCAGGGAGGAAGTTCGAAATGAAGAAAATTGAGTTTTCAACAAAAATATTGTTCTTTTTTAGCAAAGAAAACACTGAGAAAATGATTTGAGAAACAGATTTTTTCTTCTTTTTTTAAATAAGAAAAATACATTCAACAACCCTCAGCACGTAAGATGTTAAGACGCTTTTTAAAAGTCATTTCTTTCCAAACGTGTGAAATAATGTGAACTACACAGAAAAAAAAAGCATGATATATGAACATGCTTAAAAGTCTGATTGTCATATAGTATGTTTCAATCCCCAGCTTTGCCAAATAGTAACCTTAGAGGAATAAGTCCTGCACACACACACACACACACACATGCACATGCACACCTGGACAACCCGAGCCTTTCACCGGCAGTCGTGGTGAGGAGCAGGTACTGACAGACTCAAACACCTGCTATTGGAAAGTATGTTCTCCCTCAGTGATCCTGGGTTTTACAGGACTGGGAGGCTATTGTTCTGTCCCGGTGCTGACAGCCAAGGTATTTCTGGACTCCTAGAGCACATACAAAAAAAAAAAAAAAAAAAAAAACAATGGCCAATTTATGTAAGTTAGTAGCCTATAGGGAAAAATAGCTTTACTATTTCAACTCACTTTCCAGCTTTGAAAACAGTGTGTTTCTATCATGTTTATAGTATAATGTGAACCAATGTGTTATTTGAGTTAGAAAATGTCTGAATTCCTCTTTAATATCCTTATCTGAGGGTCAAGCTTGCCTTTTGAAGACATCTAAAGATCCGTTAACACCCCGCAGTGACATTCACCTGTGACACAGCGCTGGCTAGCCAAGAATGCAGTGCACCTGTAAACCTGAGTTACTCTGATCTCTATCTTCAGCATCAATCATCACTGGAATTTTTGATATTTTTCACACTTTTTACGTGTATCAAATGAGCAAAATTTATATAAATCACATTAGTAATGACAAACATCCATCTATTGGTTGATTTACTGATACAATCAACATAAAAAGACTACAAAATACAGTAAAATGGAATATTATTTTAGACAATTGTTTTCTATTGTAATATATTTTAATATATAATTTATTCCTGTCATGCAAAGCTGCATTTTCAAAATCTTCATTACTCCAGTCTTCAGTGTCACATGATCCTTCAGAAATCATGCTAATATGCTGATTAGATGCAAGAAACATTTCTGATTATTAGAAATGTATCAAGCAGTTGTGCTACTTAATATTTCATTTAGTTCTTTTTTAGGATTCATTGATGAATAGAAGATTAAAAAAGACTAATCAGTCTTTACTGCCACTTTGATCACTATAATGCCGAATAACAACTTCTTTTAAACCCCCCAAACTTTCAAACTGTAGAAATTCTTCAGTCAAATAATGTTGATTAGGCGTTTTAATCACATTCATTTGCTGTTTTTGATCCCTGATACGCAGACTTGGGAAAGTCTAGAAAATGACCAGTGAGGCCCGTCTTAAGCAGGAGGGGAATTTGCAAAGTCACCTGGGCTGCAAACTGCCGCAAGGCACCTCTGAGCTCCGGGGCCACCCCGCTCGGGTCCCCAGCTCTGATCCCCAACGCCGACCCCGCTCAAAATCATCCCCATTAGCTTACTGCTGAGGAATTCTCGGTCAAGTGAATGGCATGGTGGCTAACAAAGCCCTGTTTCAAGGAAGATTACAACTTCAACAGGAAACCCTTTGATGAGTGAGACTGTTTGAAAATGTTATTAATATCACCATCACCCCTTGGGGTCAACAAAAACCATTTCTAATCACCCCATACCTGTGGCTATGTATTCTCTTGTGTTATTGTGTGCGTGTGTGTGTGTGTGTGTGTGTGTGTGTGAGAGAGAGAGAGAGAGCATGAGCGAAAAAAAGGGAGAATTATCTTACTGTCAGAGAATAGAGGGGAGACTTGTTTAACATGGACCGCGCTCAACAGCACGTGCGATGACAAAGTGATTTTGCTCCTTACAACGGTCACCCACCTGCACTCAGATTAGGTCAGATATTTGTTTCTGAGGCCAAGCTGTCCCTCAAATTAGATGATGAAAAAAGCTCATTGTGGATAACATTCTTTCTCGGCTGAAGTGGAAAAAAGTGGGGGAAAAAAGGAAAAGAATGTAATACCTCATTATGCTGCTGTGGTAGGATCAATGGTGCTGTTTTAGAGACTTTAATTCCTGAATCTTTTTGATTACATTAATTACATTATACATTATTAGTATTTTTGGGACATCCAGGGGCTAAAAATGATTTATGTCTGCCTGTATATTTAGTGCAAAAACTACAATATTGAATAACAACAATAGTGAATAGAAAAAAGCCAAATAAGGCATGATCATTGATCATGTGACTGAAATGGCATTTTAACAGGAATATATCTTAATTTTATTTCAAGACAAGTAATTCAGTCCAATGTTCAATTTGTACACTTGGATATGATTGTAGAATGTGCTGCTCAGAGGAATCCTGTATTTGTAGTTTAAATATTTACTTCCAGTAAATAAACACATTATAAATGAACACATCTGTGGATTTTCAAACCACTTTGCATACATTGGTTTAGTTTCAAATAGGCTAGGCTACCGTTGGCTTTGGGATTGATAATGCCTTAGTCATGTTCTTCGTAGTGTATTAGTTAGCTGAGTTCTTTAGTTTAAAGTACCACTGCATCCATGGAGAACTAAAGAGTTAAAAAAAAAGAATTATAATATTCTTATAATAATATTATAATATAATATAATATAATATAATAATATTATAACGCATCACAGAAACGTTTCGTCGACTGACTGTCATAGCTACAATTGTTACAGTGCTGCAATCAGCATACAAATATATACTTGGCTATATATAATACGTTGTTTCTGTCATTGTTCTACATCATAGTAGGCTATAGTATAGAGACTATTATATATGCTAATTTATGGCAAGCCTATAGAGTAGGCTAGCCTTTGTGACCACGGTTGTTGTTTGCCGAAAAATGTGAACGGACGTCTTCTCTTTAGGCTACTTGTAAATTTAGTCTATGGCGCCCTCTGCTGTTAGATTTATATTAAAGCAGCTTGAAACTGTCCATTTGAAGAAGACAGATGGGTTATTTTGACTTCATTCTGAGTTAGATGATTACACTTTATTTCGTTTAATTAAGAGTTTAGAATTTTGAAACTGCACATATTAGGTTAACCAGGCCAGTTCTTATTTGTGTTTCATCATAAATGTATGTAATTTCTATCTTATTGTGTAACATTTTAGCTCCTCTTCACCAAAATGATATGCAACCAAAATTATAATAGGCTGCAACCAAAATTATAATAGGCTACAACGATAACGATATTACAATAATAAACACGTGTAGCCTAACTGTAGCCTACATGTGAGGGAAGATCTGTGGCCGGTTGCATAAACTGCTAAAACCAGTCTTACAAGTTCGTCTTCAATGTTTTTAAGATGCTCATAACTTTTTAAGTCAGTTGATGTTAACTCATGTTATAATATTCTGAAATAATCCATGGAGCTATTTACTTTAATCCATAATGTATTGGTTATTTATAATAATAATAATAATAATAATAATAATAATAATAATAATAATAATAATAATAATAATTATTATTATTATTATTATTATTTTAAAATGGTAAAATTATACTTATACAATTAGAAAAGAAACATGAATATGTATAACTTTAATGAACACTAGCTACTACTACTACTACTACTACTACAACTATTAGCCCTAATAATACTATTAATAACAATAATAAATAAAATAAATGTTATAATAATAAATTATCATTATTATTATTGTTTATAATAATAATATATTATTATTATCATGATATAATTTTAATAATTTTGTATAATAAAATATTAAATTATTATTTTCCTTGCACATATAATAATAATAATAATAATAATAATAATAATAATAATAATAATAATGATTATTATTATTATTATTATTATTATTATTATAGCCTTCATGGTCCTTTAACGATTTATACTGTCCTCAAAATCTGGTTTAGTCGATATTCACGAAAATGAAGACTGGATACACTTCACAGAAATTATTGCAACAAAGCTAACATCCTCACCGACCCTTGTACCGAAAAGTTGGAGGTAAGGGGGCGAGTCCTACCGCTGATCTCTATAGCATCCACAGGAAGATTTCCTTGACAGTACGTCAAGAAACTCGAGAGACGGAGCGCGTCCCCTGGAGACCGCACGCGTCCACTTCCGGTTTAGCAGAGAGCTGGAAAAATAGCAACGGCAGAGGAGCACAGCTGGGGAAGGAGGAGGCCAGGCTGGAGCTAAAGCGATTCGCTGTGCAGAGGAATGGGCGACGTTTGATCGGAGAAGGTGAGACGCGACTTTATTAACGGCTCATTATATCAGCTCAGACGTCACCGTTGGTTTATTTGGCGCAGATCTATCGGACGCATCTAAATACATGCTGCTAACCGGCTAACTTATTAGCATTCCGTGACAGCTTTGGTGCGAGCTAGCATGGCAGCAACTCGGCTGTCGCAAATGTAAGGAGGAAGAGTTCGCGTGCAGCGCTGGGCAAATTAAACGGTCATGAGCCGTTTTACACCGTTCGATAGCTGTTCAACGAAGCTTACGTGTTTATTTTCCCTTCAGATGCGGTTGGTTTTAACTGCCAACCTCCACATTCCGCATTCCCCTCAATCACAAGCAAGAGGGCCACTTTCACACCCTGAAATTGTTTTAGACAAGTGAAACTTTTGATCACAGCCGTAGAAGTTATGCTAAACTAACTTACGTTAACTAATTTCATTATGGTATTAATAATATCGAAAGTGTACGACATTGGATGTCACGGAAACCAGCGAGCTGCCTACCTAGACCGTTTTTAGATGCGTTTGAACGTGCCTGTTATGATTTAGATTCTAAGTAGGCAGCTCACATAGTTTTAAGAATCAGTCAGGGACTGATTCAATGCAGATTTATTTGAAGTTAAAATCAAACTACATTTAATTGGCTTACTAAACCATGATTCATGTATCACATTCCTAACAGTATTGGATGTAGTTTACTGTCTTTAAAGCAAAGGTTAAGTTTGGGTCTGAGTTAGTTTCGTTTTTGGTTAGTTCACTCAAAATGAAAAGGAAAAATGAACCTGAATGGTGTCCCTTACTTAAATTCTGCCTGTCATTTTTGGATGAATTGACCCTTTTAATTACACGTCATAATGTATGCAACCATCTACAAACAGTACTGTCTATAAGATAACTAAAATATTTTACTTTTTTAATGTAGAGGACAGTAAAGTGTGAGTTTTTCAGGTGAATGTCAAAAAAATAGTTTCACTTTAATTGGTTGTTCATGTGGCATACAAATTCCTTGTCGTTCTTTTTCAGAGATGAGTTATTCTATTTGTACTGTCCATCATTTTGGACTTTTATCATAAGACTTGGAATAAAGCCATACACCACCCAATATATAACAGCGGTTTAAAGGGCAGGACAAATAGGGTTGTTCAACTCCGCTGGTAGTTCACATGTACAACAATGATCTGTGAGTTAGCCTATTTGATTGGTTACTTTGCTGTTAACAAGAGTAGAAGAGTATGTTTCTCTAAAAATCCCTTTTTTTTTTCTCTAGGGGAATTAATATTTAACAATTTTTACCAATTCACACAGAATGAGTTTTTGCTGTTAAAAACATGAGACACAGATCAGCAAAACGGAACAGTAGCTGAACATTGACAGGGATGAACATTCTTGCCTCGTCATGCTGCTGGGGTTTTTAAAAAAACGTGGCGCTTCCATTGATGCCTCTCATACCTTTTTGATAAAGTATGTTCAAGTATACGATGTTGAAATTAGCCTCTGGCATGTATTCAAGGTGATCGTGTGCCTGAAGAATTTATTTATTTGAGCAATAGTCTGAAATATGAAAGTACATTTCTTGTATTTGCTCTTCAGGAAGTTCATAAGAAAGTGTCTTCATTGTGGTTTTCCCCATGTCCTTGTCATCTTAAAAGCCATGTTATGGCATCTCAGGAGTCATAATTTTCCCCCCTAACCACTCAAAATGTTTTCTCAACCAGGCTTGTCTGAACAGACAGAGCCAAACCAATTAAGCTGTGTGCTGTGCATGAGTAGGCATTATTGTTTTGCACTCGATAAACCTTTCATTTTTTTGTGGCTGTATCTGCTTAGCTTCAGTAATAGCTGTTAAATGGTTTTGGTTTGTAAATTCTCCTGTTATGGCAGATTTATAGCCCAGAAAAGAGAAGGATTTTTCTTGTACCTTAGACAAGACATCACCTCCGCTGCTCAGGATCGAATGCTCAGGTTTCTGAATCTAATTACATCTGCTGTTAGTATAATACTTGAATGTTTTGGGAACATTGATGAGCAGTTTGTCCCTGAAGCTTGTGGTTCAATGGGCTTTGGCTGTGTGTTCCTTGTCTCTTGGCTAGCTTCAATGGGGATTGACTTGGGAAAGAAGAAAGGATGCCTTTGACCTGCGCACCCGAAGCAAAACAGAATGACTTGGTGGTATTTTTATCCACTCTGATTATGCCTGTTAGATATGCAAAGCCTGGCTGATTTCCCTTGCCAGTTCCTTTATAGCGATTCTTAATTATCCTTTCAAATTTGTGCAGCCGATTCCCTTTGATGTAGCTTTTCTTTCTTGCCATTAAAGTGGCTGGAGTCATGGATGGTGATGGGAGAAGCCACAGAATGTGCCTGGAGGATGTTCTTAATGCACATTGGCCTTTTTAGGATCTTTCTCCAGGCGTGATCAGAAGCAATACGTTAGTGTTTTAACTGAAGATTCCTTTGGAGTAGCCTCATGCCTGGGACCAGGGATGATACCCAGAGCTTCTGACCCATTTTTCGTTAGCTACCGCTGTGTAGTCACACATTTCTATAACCTCCACTGTCAAAACATTGCTCACTGTATTGTTATCTGTGTTTACAAAGAAACTATTTTGACATAATTTTGTGTGTTGTTTGTTGAAGTACAAGAGGATATGAAAGAGAACTCGATTTGGTACCACACTGTTTGAGAGACGGCTCTGTGACTGCACAAAAAATACTGAATTATGTGCTCTTTTGCATCCTCTTGTGCTTGAATGTTTAAAATCGACACACCTATCACTGTGATGATGTACTCGATCAGGGCGGTGACATTCCGTTAACTCTCCTGAGAATCTTTTGTGCTAGCTCCGGTTCTTTGGGCACGCCTTATTGTTACTTTGGTTTTACTGTTGTTGAATCAAAGTGTTGTTGAGAAAAGTCATATTGCTCAGCATTCTCGTGGTAGTTCTTGAAAACAGTTCCCCAAAAAGTTTGCAAGCACTTCTGGCAGCTTTTCCGCCCTCTCACGGCCTATCGGTTTCCTCCTGCCAGACTGTGCATGTTAAGCATTTTTGGCAGTACTGGACTAGGTATTATTTTGCAGAATAGGCTAAAAGCTGCTTATCTTGAAGGAGGCCTTCTGCAGCGTTCATTTGCCAATGCTGATATGGCAGTTTCCACTCTTAACGGCTTGCTCAGTGAACCGGTAAAGTAAGTTTTCCCAGTTAGCCATGAGTTTTTATTTTTTCCGTTTGTTTGGGGATTCTGGGTAGCATGCGTGTGTGTACATATTTCTTCTGTTTACTGATATTTGGGTATTAAATGGGGCTGTAGTACAGATTTTACTGGAATGTTTAAAAAAGGCTAATTTAGATTAACCTAAGAAAGATTAATTAGGCTGAGATGGTGTTTACCTAATTTCAATGTCTGATTTGGTCTGATTAGTAATATAAATGCTTGTAAAATTGCCTTTTTAGAATATTTAACTTGCTGATCCACTTGTTAAGAGATACAATAAGTAACCTATGGTTAGATATGACGATGTTTCATGGAGTGAACCAAGGCAACTTGATCCCTTCAACTGGAACAACTCTTTGATGCCAAAAAAAGAGAGCTTTAATATGCATATTGCCTGTTGCCACTAATTTCATTAATGTTTAAACGGAAATTTTGCAACCATCCACCGGAAAATATCTGTTGGCCTATTATCTTTTAAAGGACATTGCCGTCTTATCTCGTTTTGATGACCTTTTACAATCAATCTTTTCACCAATCCACTAGATAAATGTGCCCCTACTTGCAACCCAGAGTATAGTGAGGAAGTAGTTTCATGATTTGATTGTTGTCAATGCTCAAGAACTGTGTTAAAATCCCTCTAAACCCTCCCCTCCGGACACAAGCCTGAGTGTGAAACCTGCGATTGCATCTCGCTGGAGTGCAGCCAAGACACTTGCCCCCTTGGGCTCACCAGATCAACTGAGTATACATTCTTGGTTTTCAAGTTCAGCTTGGTTTTCATAGAAGTGGGCAAGTGGCACAGCTCCTTTTTGACATGGCTTCCCTCTGTGAACCTTTGAACGTAAAGGAAATAGAATTTAACGTCTACTAGCCTATATGTTTAACATGATTTTCCAATTTTTTTTTCACACCCATTTTCTTTCCGGATTTCATTCACGAACTGTATTTATGGCCTATGCATGTTTAAAAACCGCCAGGCTTCAGAAAATACGCATTTATCATTTAAACAATTTTTTTGAACATGTAATAAACATTTAATTTCACAAACCTTTCTGACTTAGTCGAATCCAGCTGTCAGATATTTTGTAGTGCGCATTTGTAGCCTGCATGAATGTTACTCTGTGAGTGACGTTAGGTCCATGCGATTGCATGCGGACAGGAGAGTTCAGCTTCATTTAGACAACCCGATCGACAAATTTAATTTAAACCTTTGATTTCAAACAATGCTGCACTATATTTAGTTGCTCACTATGTCATATTTATGACATTTTCACTGTGTGCTGCATGTAAAATTAATGTTACCTTGTCTTTATTTGAACAAATATGATTCCCCAGTATGCACAAACTTACTAGATTACAGTGCCCTGTTGGATACTGTTGACTTATTTTCCATCTAAAGTAAGTCTGTTTAATTTAGAGATTTATTTTTAATTCAAAATACAGTAGGCCTATATATTTGACAGTGTTTCTCTTACTTTCTGGTGAGTCCCCACCCCCATTTTTTCTCTTGATCATGGCAGAATGACAACATATGGGTGGTGAGACGGGTGTCTCTGCAAGCCCTGCCAATTGGAGAAAGTGTTTACTCTCCCAAAATTGCTGACTGAGACTCACATTGAATCACTAGACTAGAGAGTGAGAAGATGAGACCATAGGTGGTTGGAGGCGTATGAGGGCCTGAGGAGAATGTAAAGAGGAGGATAAGAACAACAACAACTTTTCATTTAGGCCTACAGAATTCTTACAAAATCTGCTTTTTCCCATTTCTTTTTAAATGCAGCTTTTATAATGCAGTGATCTGTTCAACATATTACTTGCAAGCTAAGTGGCTGCGTTTTTTTTTTACTTTTATTCTCTCATTGATGGATCACTCTTTCTCGCACATTGTTTTTGGCCATGTATCAACTTGATCTAATGAGTTCTCTGCACACACCCTTCCCTTAAAGATCTTATTGGTTCATTTCCCCCTGCTTTTTAGAAGTTGCTTGCTCTTGATGACACCTTTGCTTAAGATAACTATGTGAACTACTCTAATACTTGATCGATATAAGTAGAGATGCACATGATCGGCGACCAGCCGGTCAGTCTGACTAAATACACAGAATTTGCATGTCTGGTGTGTTTTAACAAGAACTGGAGTATACACTCACCTAAAGCATTTTTAGGAACACCATACTAATACTGTGTTTGACCCCCTTTTGCCTTCAGAACTGCCTTAATTCTACATGGCATTGATTCAACAAAGTGCTGAAAGCATTCTTTAGACATGTTGGCCCATATTGATAGGATAGCATCTTGCAGTTGATAATCCTTTAGATGAGTGTTATGTAAGAAAATAAAATTATTATTATTTTTTTTAAATGAAATGAACACTTTTTTTTTTTAGTTTGACATTGAATGTGAAAAGAAGGAAATGGTTCTTCCATAAAACTGGTCTTTAGATGTGTGTGAATTTCCCTAACAAGGAGTAATTAAGTAGTAAATAAGGAGTAAATAATCCACCTAAAGGATTATTAGGAACCCCAGTTCAATTTTTCATTAATGCAATGATCTAATCAACAAATCACATGGCAGTTGCTTCAATGCATTTGGGGTGTGGTCCTGGTCAAGACAATCTCTTGAACTTGAACTCAATGTCAGAATGGGAAAGAAAGGTGATGTAAGAAATGTTGATCGTAGCATGTTTGTTCGTGCCACTACAAATAGGAAAAAGAGGCTACAATTTGCAAGAGCTCACCAAAATTGGACAGTTGAAGACTGGAAAAATGTTGCCTGGTCTGATGACTCTTGATTTCTGTTGAGACATTCAGATGGTAGAGCCAGAATTTGGCGTAAACAGAATGAGAACATGGATCCATCGTGCCTTGTTACCACTGTGCAGGCTGGTGGTGGAGTAATGGTGTTTTGGATGTTTTCTTGGCACACTTTATGCCCCTTTGTGCCAATTAGCCTTTCGCCGAGCCCCGCCCCCCTTAGTTACTGCTGCTACCTCCGTCAAACAAATGGTCAAACACGGGCAGCGCGACAGATTGCCATGACGGCAAAGGGTATTCCCGTGCGTGTCAGTGACCTTTTTTGGAGCAATACCTCCGCGATATCAAGCAAGATCGAAGCAAAAGGGGTTACGGTATGCGGTGGAGGGATTTATTCCAAATATAAAATTAAGAAATGAATGAGACACGACTTTGATGCTAATGCTTACCAGTCTCAAGAAAAATCAGAAAAACCCCATGACCATGCTAAGTTACCTCAAATGCAACCAGCACAGCCTTGAAGATTTTATAAACTGGTTCAGTGGCTAATTGTTTGGAGTTCGAAATATATAACTTGCGCTGCATATTTATTCATTTTGCCTCCGATACAGGAGTAGCACGTTCGCTTTAACAAGCAGGTTGTTCATTAGGCTACCACAGCAACCGATTGCGTGTCATGCTCATGCTGAATGCGATTTTCGTGTTTAAAAAGTAACTAACGTTATGCATAAGAGACGGAAAGAGGCAGAGAACCATACGTTATTTAAGGTTATTTCTATTCGTTACGATATTGATATGAACTGATGTTGTCATGTAAGCTTCATGCTTTCCCCGTTGCGAACGTCCTCTAAACTGTAGTCTACGGTGCTGCACTGCTAACTTAGCTGACTGCTGCTCGTTTTCCCAGATAATATCATGGTATGTTAACAACAACCCTTTAGAAAATGTACAGTAAGTCCTTTGTGGATCCTCTTGATCTGCTTTCTCCGTGCTTCTTTGACTAATCTCAGTCGCACGCACGCACGCTGCACGCGAGACGAGTTAACCATGTTCGACACATTTAACTGGAATTGGGGCGTCCACACTGTTTAATACATCTTAGGCACCACTCGCGTTGTGTTTTGGGCTTTGGAAAGGGAAAAAACACAACTTCTCCAGACAATCTCTCGGGGTATCATGTGTCCGATTTACTAACGCCGTGGGCGCACCGCTTACTGTTTGACGGAACAGCTCACACAGTAACGGTTGCTATGATGTGTGATTGGACAATGGCCATTTTGTGGGAGGGGCCGGCGAAAGGGCAATTGGGCATCATTTTAATGCCACGGCCTACCTGAGCATTGTTTCTGACCATGTCCATCCATTTATGGCCACCATGTACCCATCATCTGATGGCAACTTCAGCAAGATAATTCACCATGGCACAAAGCTTGAATCATTTCAAATTGGTTTCTTGAACATGACAATGAGTTCACTGTACTAAAATGGCCCCCACAGTCACCAGATCTCAACCCAATTGAGCATCTTTGGGATGTGTAGGAACCGGAGCTTTGTGCCCTGGATGTGCATCTCACAAATCTCCATCAACTGCAAGACATCAACTGAATTCATTTTTAATGGTTTAGCCCTCGATTGTTAAATAAAGACCTTTTTCACTTTTGTAACCCTGAGTGCCTGGACTTGGATTTCTTTCCCATTTTTATGAGATTTTTTTTTATTTTTGGAGGATTTTTTTTTATTTTTGAAGGAATTTGGCCATTGGAGTGTAAAATTAATTTTAAGGGAAAAAAGTTAAAGATTCTCACACTGGTTAACTATAGACTACTGTATTACTGTATGTTTGGTTTATATTGAAGTGCCTTGGACATGCCTTTTAAATAGTGAGACTTTTGCTTTTGTAATCTGGCTCTCAAAAAATTGTATAAAAATGTAGATTTATCAGCCAATATATCAGTAATCAGCTTTCAAATATAAACCATTATCGGTAAGTACTAGTATGACCAACTAGCAGTTTGTTAAAGGGGTAATCTGTCTTACTTTTTGGTATCAAATTAGGCTAATCTACATTTTTACGCAAATGTTTCTAAATGTATTGTAAGAATGATGAGACACTAGTTAAACGAATGTTGTCTGAGTAAATGGAACTCTTTTTCTCATGTGGATGTTGCATTTGCATTGTTCAACAGCTGGTTTATTCTGATGTGTAAAAAGACTGGTGAATTGTGGTTAGACATTAGGCAGGTTGGTGCCAATACATCAACGACATGGTTTGTTTGTTAATAGGGTTAATGTGTAGATTTGTACTGTACTGTTCTGAGGGTTGAGTTACTACCTTAAAACACATACATACATTGCAATACAAAAGTCACAGTGAAACGCATCACAATATCATATTTGGATCGCAATCAAAACTGCACAAAACGTGAGAAACAATGAACTTGTGTGAGAAGTTTCAATATCTTTATAGGTTAAAGAGAGTTATGCTTTGCTTTTTAATGTGCTTCTTCATTCATTTAACCATAGGAGATTTAGAAATGAACACATAAATATAGCACAATGATACAAAGACCTGTACACTGGGGAAAAAGAATCCTGGGAAAATACTTTGTCTTCTGATAAATGGCTGTACAACAATGCTCAACTGTCTTCATGCTCAAAACACAACGCATATTTTTGCAGAATCAGGATGCCTGTTGTTCATAAAATTCTACTAATTCAGTCTTTTGCATTTTTCAAGTATTTTGGCTAATTGGATTATAAATGCAAATACCAACAAGATTTTATTAATATCTATAAATGTGTTTCCTCACACACATTGTTTTCTTTCATTCAGGTTCTCTACACACCAGGAGAGACGTCAGTGAGTCATGGAGGACTGTGGTAGCCTCATAGAGTTTGATGTACCTGAGTTCAGCAACACCGTCCTGAACCAGCTCAATGAGCTCCGTCTCCAGGGCAAGCTGTGCGACATCATTGTGCACATTCAGGGCCAGCCGTTCCGAGCCCACAAGGCTGTTTTGGCCGCCAGTTCACCATACTTCCGTGATCATTCAGCACTAGGCACAATGAGTGGCCTCTCCATCTCCGTAATCAAGAGCCCTGAGGTGTTTGAGCAGCTATTGGCCTTCTGTTACACTGGCCACATGGCATTGCGCCTACGTGATGTCATTAGTTTCCTCACCGCTGCCAGCTTCCTCCAAATGCAGGCTGTGATTGACAAATGCACACAAATTCTTGAGGGTATTCACTCCAAGATAAGCATCCCAGTGCCTGATGGGACAGATCCAGATGACGATTGCACCTCCTCAAGGTCTGGACCCAATGGTGTGAAAGATGGTGGTATCTTTTTAAACCCCACTCAGATTTCGCCACCCTATTATCCTCGCCAGAATCATTGCGCCGAAGGGCGGAACTCAGGTAAGGGGATGGTGGAGGAGGGTCAGTCAGACCGAGGGAGCAGCGACGGGATATCTGAGCAGGAGGTGTCCATGGAGGTTGAGTCGGAACAGATAGAACTCATCGGGAAGGATGGGCACGTGACAGATGTCCATATAAAGCTGGAGAAAACCGACCGGCCCAGCTACTCCGATAGCTCGTCGGCAGGTGACGACGGCTACCACACAGAGCTAGTGGATGGAGAGCAGGTGTTGGCTGTCAGCGTGGGATCGTACGGGCCTGTGCTTTCCTCTGCCAGATACGCTTACTCGGCACTACCTTCCCCCTGTTTTGTCAGCCTGAGTTCCTCTAGCCCATCTCGTTCCTTGCTCAGCAGCGTCCGGGGTGGTCGTGCCCGACCAAAACGTCCCGTGCCTCTTCCAGCCGATCTACTAACTCGCCTCAAGCCTGGTGCCGATGAAGGAGATCCACCTGCGACGGCAACTACCTTAGAAAACGACGTGAGGGAGCGTAGTTTCCGCGGACAGTGGTACCCATACAACGAGCGGCTCATCTGCATCTACTGCGGCAAGTCCTTCAATCAAAAGGGCAGCCTGGACCGTCACATGCGTCTGCACATGGGCATCACGCCCTTCGTCTGCAAGTTCTGCGGCAAGAAGTACACCCGCAAAGATCAGCTGGAGTACCACATCCGCGGCCACACGGACAACAAACCCTTCCACTGCCAGATCTGCGGTAAATGTTTTCCCTTTCAAGGCACACTCAACCAGCACTTGCGCAAGAAGCACATGACCTCTGGCACAGAAGTTAATCACACTGACTTGCTGGGAGAGGCACCAGATGGCCAGAGAGGGGAGCAAGAGGATACCTCAGAGGGCGAAGTAGCCTGCGGAGCAGCGTATCCTGATGATTTGTCACTAAAAACCGCCAGCGAAGAGAGTGGCAAGTGTAGTCCGGAAGAAACCCCTGCGTCCAAACCCCTGCGTGGATATTAAGTAAAACCTTTTCCATTTACTTGGTTGTTTGTCCTACTTATCTAATAAGGAAGCTTAAATGGTTACTCTTTTCATGATTAAGCCCAGCTGTTTCTAAAGAAAGACAAGAAATAACCCGCCTTGCGCGTTTTCTACTCGTCCATTTTTGTGGAAGTTCTACACAGGACTAAGACAGAGAGAAAGAGTTTTTAAGTAGTTGGTTTTTTTTTTTTTTTTTTTTTGTTTTCTTTCAAAGGGAAGGAGTCCTATAATCGGGGAATTAAATAACTGGGGTGGGGGTCTCTGTAATCAAGGCCACCTAAGAGTTTTATCACATTTTTATATATCTATATATATTTCCATGTTTTTCAACATATTTACAGAATAATATAGGCATGTTGCAATAATGAATAATGTGAAAGCTCAGATGAGATGCTTGTCATATCACGCTTTTACCTGACCTGTTTTTGCACATGTGGCCTGTAGTAGGTCACTCACTCACAAGGAATGGTTTATCTGCCAGTGCAAGGCTCTTTGTGACACATCTGTTCAATACCTCATTACACAACCTCAACATACTCATAATGGACAGTATTTGTAGCTTGTCTTCAACTCCAGCCAGGTTTTACCTCATAGCAAAGAACCTGAATGGAGGGGAAGAAGCTTCTCTCAATAAAGTTCTGTTTGTTTTCTAAAGGGTTGGAATGCAAAACCCCTGATCAAAACATCTCCACTTTATACTACTTCAGTGAAATTTTCTTTAGTGATTGTATGAATCCTGTTCAGTTTTTCTCTAGCAGTCATGTTATGTATGTCTATGGGAAAATTGCTAATACAAGGTGTACCTGTGGTGTATTTCAGGATCTAGGATCTACTACATGTGATGCCATTTTCTTCCACTTTTTCATTGTTTCAATGCCATATTTTTCCTAGAATCACAGTCTGTCGTTATGCACTCTTTGTGTAACATTATTCATTTGGTTATGATGATATCAATGGTATAGTTGCAAATTAGTGCTCGAGTTAAATCAATTTGATTGTTAATTCAAATTTTTTACTTTTTTTTTTTTGCTTTTGTGCCAACTTTCTTTCTTTCTTTCTCTTTCTTTCTTTCTTTCTTTCTTTCTTTTTCACAAAAAAAGTTATTTTGAAATATGAGTTTTCCCAGACACGAGGAGGGTGTGCCTTTATTGATATATTTGTGAATGCGTTTCTGAAAGGGGTTCATTCAAGATATGAAAATATCCTAAGGGCCATATCATCGTGGAAAAAAAAACAAAAATGTCCACACTTGATTAAAATTTCAAACAGCTTTACTTGTTTCGCTGACTTGAAAGCGCTTTCATTTTTTCTAGTAATTTTGTGTGGAACAGACAGCCGTGATAAGAATCTCTCTTAGACTTCTCACACTTAATGTTATCTGTTGATTTACAGACCAAAATGTATGGTGTTTCAGTACAAGAAATTAATAATTGAAGAAGATTAACTTACTGCCGGTATCCTTTTGTTAATGTTAAATAGTATGGAGGTGTATTGTTTATGCTGGGAGGTATAGTGTTGGGTTTCATACTGTACTACCATAGTGCAGTAATAAGATAAACCGGCACTGTCAGTACCACTTTTGTGAGCACGTTTATGTGTTTAACATTATGAAGAAAGAGAGAGCCCAGGACAATATTTCTTCCTATCCATTTTCACTGTTATGTAAAACAGTGCAAAACGTCATACCTCACAGTTTTTTTTTAATAAGGCTCCTTGTATCACATGCCAATTTTAGATACATTTTGCAATTTCTCATCACCACACTGTCTTATGCAAAAGAAGTAAAACAGCATTTATTTGTCAGCAATACGCTAGACTATTTTATAGTCATCACTACAGTTGAGCATCTGCCTCCCTGTCTGCAATATATTTGATTTATAGTTTTGGATGCTCAGACAGATTAAAACATGCCTCGTTCTCTCAACATTCAAGTGCTTTCAAGTTTGCTTGACATACCATTTAGATATTTACCTTACCACACCCTCCATAAGTTCGCTTTAACAACCACCAAGGATACTTACCATAAGCAGCATACCCTTTTGTTTAGAGACTGCGGTATTATCCTACCAAGACAACTCCTTGATTCTGTGAACCGTCACCAGTATCACGCCTTGGGCAAAACTTGTTTCTGAAAGTATAAGTTAAACTACTCTGTGACTTAAGTAATGGTGCTCTTCTATGTTTTGTTTAGTTTTTTTTTTTAGCTTAGTGTTGCAGTCACTTTCTATTAGTTGTTGTTTTTTTGTTTTGTTTTTTTACTTTCTCAGTTAAAGTATTTTCAGCACTGCGGTAAATGTAGGTGGGAATCTTCTGCCATTTTTTTTTTCTCTTAAAATCAATGCATTTTATTTTACTCGATTCATATTTTAGAATACTAAATTATTTATAATGTGCCATTAAAATCTCTTCATGGGCTTGTAAAACTGGCAGATGAGTGAGAATGAACCTTATACCTTTGATTTGTTTTCCGGCTCTGAGCTTTTGAATCAATGGCAGTTTTTTGAGCCAAATGTGATAACTCAATTACAGTTAACAAGAGCCAAAGCGCTCAATGCCGTACTACTGACAGAGCATGTTTGGTGTCATTCTGTGACATGTTTGTCATTTTGAAGCATTGCTTTGTTCGCTGAATATGTTTAGATTTGCTCTGTTCGTTTATCATAATGTACCTGTTCATGACTTTGGCCACTAACCAAAGAGCAAACCAAAAATTGTAAAGGGTTTGTGTAGTGTTGCGCAGCGGACAAGAGAGACCAAAACCAAGCCATGGAACAAGCGAATCTGTTTTAGAGGTGTCCGTACATCTTTTTCTTCTCATTTCCCAACATCATAATGCCATATGACACACACTGGCGTTAAGGAGAAAAGTTTTGTTTGTTTTACAATGAATGAAGCTGTAAGCATTATCTTAAGCTTTTGAAGAACAGACTTTGGATGTTGTTGTGTGGTCTTTAAAGAGATGATGGTACAAACAGAGATGTTTTGTTGAGGACGTTGATTGAACTGGTGCCTTGCTATGAAACATAGGCTTAGACTACCATTTGGGGTCAGTATGATTTTTTTTTTTTCTTTTCCTCGAGGATGCATTAAATTGTTCAAAGGTGACACACTGAAGACATTTTTATAATGTTACAAAAGATTTTGGTTTCATATTATGAAAGAGTCATCATTTCCTTAATTTAAGCAGCACAACTGTTTTTGACTTTGGTAATAATAAGAAATGTTTCTTGATCACCAAATCAGCATATTGTAATGGTTTCTAAGGATCCTGTGACACTGAACATTCAGCTTTGCATCACAGGAATAAAAGTGATTTTACACTATACAAAAAAGAAACATTTAAGTTATTATAATATCCCCAATATTTCTGTTTTTACTGTATTTTAGGTCAAATAAATGCAGCCGTGGTGAACCGAAAAGACTTCTTTCAACATTTCACATTTTAAAAAATCATACCGACCTCAAACTTTTGAATAGTAGTGTATGTGAATCACTTACTCTGCAGGTCATTGTATTTTTTATTTTTTTTTGCCGCTCAAGATTATGGGAAAGAGATGAGGGGTTTCTTCAAAGAGGGTGGAAATGTTTGTTATCTTTGGATGCATCGATGTTTCAGCCTGGTCTTTTGTATACGTATTGAACTAATAGTTATACACAAAAGCAATATGCCTGCTAGATCATAATCAAAACATGCAGTAAGGGTTCTTTTTTCATGTGTTTTTTTTGTTTCTATGGGGAAACATCCCATTTAGAGGAGACTTATATGCATTGAAGCGACAGATTTTCGCATCCGAGTCATTATGCAGTTTTGACTTAAAGTGAATATGCTGAAATAAAATAGGACAATCAAACAGCTTCACAATATGGAAGCTGCCTCTTAAAATAACTTTTGAAAAAAATTTCGTCAGTCGGTTTTTGCTTGGCTATAATCTCATCAGAATAATGATGCTTTCAGGTTAGTAGATCGCTGTATTATGTATATCGTTTGGTCTAGAGAGGGGAAATATGCATGCCGGCCCACTTATTGTTCAAGTAGAATTGCATGGTGACCTCCGCGTTGTAAAACGAAACTACAGATGACCTTTTTTTTTGTCTTAAGACTTGAAAGTGATTTTCCTTTATAGCTATATCTTTTTTGATATTTCACCTGGCATGCACTTAATGACCCTTTCTTAAATAATAATCAGTAAATGTATTCCATGTGGGATTAATTGACCGTGTAATACTCCCAACTTATGGGACGCATAAGGCCTCAAATATATTTTTTTTCGCTTGGGATGTGTTTCCCCTTTAATGGTGCTTTACGACTGGTCAGGTTTCTTTTCAGTTTTTATAATGTGTAAGCAAAAAGATGATGTTAAATCGGTGATATGGAACAAGACATACTCTTGTTAAGGATTTTTAATGAACTGTAGTCATACTCCGCCAACTGACCTAGATACCCATGGTCCATTTTCACTCGCTTTGTTCACATAAAACCAGTTCAGTTTGTGCCATGCACAATTGTCAAAAAAGAAGTGTTTACAGGGAAGGCTGTTGGACTACTTTTTGATTGTGCAGCTCGTCCTTTTTAACTGTTGAAAACTGTTGACTTACTTCAGGTAGTTTATGAACACTGAGCTAAACCTAGAGATATTGAAGAAAAGGAAATCTTGAAGTCTTCCATCGGTTCTACACTTCCAACATGTCTCCACTGTGTAATATGCAAAAGCAATAACCTTTGTAAAAGCATTATTTTTTGTTTTCTTTGGTGTCTTTCTGCCTCAGATCGCCGGAGGATCGTGTCTCAAAATGAATGCGTTCAGAATGTCAGGGAGCTGAGGTCATTCATGATGAGGAGATGATTTTTTTTTTTCATTCTTTTATGTGAAAACTTGGACAGGTTGGGCAAATATGCTTCTACAGTGTGGCTTGTTTTTGCGGTTACAACAGTCCATGTTCGGTTAGTACTTCATTTACCTGACACATCAGTGTCAGTGGTGAAGTCACATCTTTTTTTTATCCATGTCAAATATGAAAGGGATCTTTGAGATATGTAACCTGCCGTTATGGTGTATGCTAAAGATCTTCTTTCTTCATGCTTCGTGATTAAACAGCCATTCAGCAAAATGAACTCAAACTCTTGTTCTCTCATGTATTCAGGACATTGCAAAAAAGTAAAAAAGTAGAACTCAGGGTTTATTAGTATTCAGAAAATGTCATATTGGATGCGAATGTGATCTTTGTGTCCAAAACTAAGCTTGCACTTTTACTTCAGGTGGGGAAGCAGTTCCTCAAGTCATTGGTTCCCAAAACAGTCTGCCTCACAGGTGTAGTGTGATGCACCTGAATGTTTCCGTTCTTGCTCTTCCTGAATGCATGGGACGTTTCACGGCTGAGGAAAGCTGATCTTTAGCTCTCGTCGTATCGGTAGCGCTCTGTCCAACCTTCTGTTATCCACTATATGTACAACCTCACAACCCAACTGTGAACCTCAGAACTCTACTGTTTTATACAACTATGAAGTACATGAAGCTAGCTGACGCCGATGCTGTAACAATTAACTCGCCATTTATGAATTTTATTTTATAGCATGAAATATAAAAGTATATTTATTCAAATTCTATATTTTACTCATAATCATTCTGTGCTGCTTTTTTTTCGTTCTTAAAGCTTGTATATTGCTTTTTTATGATACAAAGAAATGTCAATAGATTAAAAAAATGCATTTGTTTGTACAATAAAGATGCTGATTTGGCTAAATGTCTTGACATCCTTGCTTTGCTCATTCTAGTAAAGTATGCATTGCAGTTTGTGCATTAATGCTGATGTCCACTAGATGGAGCACATGCACAGAAAAAGTGCTGTAAATTAAAGGGATACTCCACTTTTTTTTTTTTTTTTTTTTTTGGGAAATAGGCTCATTTTACAACTCCCCCAGAGTTAAAAAGTTGAGTTTCACCGTTTTCAAATGCATTCAGACGATTTTCTGATATTTAGATGAATCTCCATAACCAGATTTCTCCAGTTTCTGGTCTCATTGACTTCCATATGAAACAAAAAAATACTATGGAAGTCAATGAAACTGATATTCTTCTAAATATCAGAAAATCGGCTGAATGGATTAAAAAAAAAAAACGGTAAAACTCAACTGTTTAGCTCTAGGGGAGCTGTAAAATGAGCCTATTTCCAAAAAAAAGTGGAGTATCCCTTTAAAATAGCAATAATAACATGCTGAAGCTTTGCAATTACTTAATAAACCCCATGCATATTAATTTTGTAATAAAACATTCACTTTTCAATATACAACTTTTTTTTGTTATTCTAATTTTAATAAATTTAAATATATTAAAAAAAATTACATTGTATGTTTATTACAAATTAATACATTTTAAAAACCTATGTAAATTCTGTGTCAAAAATCAAAATTCAATGCAATTCAAATCTACAATGTATTGTCCCTGAGGTGACGTTTTGTCTTGACTCCATTAAACTGGTCTTGATGAATGATCAGATGGGCTACCAGCTGGTGGGGACAACTTGACCTGGTAAACCTTGATCAATCTGGTTAAAGCTGGCAAACCACATTGGACCAGTAACAAACCAGCTGCCGTGTTCCAAAATCCAGACTGGCCACCATAAGCTGCTTTGATTTTTTTTTTTTTTTTAATGTAGGGACATAAATGTAATTTAAAAACAGTCCTAAATCACGTTTTTATATCAAGAGATGTCACTTCACCTGAAAATAAACAAAGTTTAAGTGAAAACAAGTGCACATAGCCTAAATATTCAAATGTGTATGCTTACTTTTTGTGGTAGGCACAAAAACTTAAAGGCTAAATTATAAAACTTTAAAAGTAAAGTTTAAATATTATAGAGCTTATAGGCGCAGTAAAAATCATTTGAAAAATCAAAACAATACCCCTATTTGTTCAATAATGAAAAACAAACACTATATTTCTTCAAAGGAAAAATAAAACATCACTCTTTTAAAATAAAAAAATAAGTCCACACATATTCCCAACGCAGAGTGCACAAAACAAAGAGAAATATATTGACCTAATTAATGATTGGTTATTCAATTATGGTAGGCGGGCCCTGGTCTGACGCTACAAGATTGGTCAAAGCTTCTGTCTATCAAGCCTACAGCACTTCCTGATGTCAATGCCCAGCTGTTGGCAAATGACCCGCATCTCCACCATCCGGCTACTTCGCGTCTATACACCAGACTCAGTGTTTGACATCATACCCGCTCAAAACACGCTGCTTTGCCAGGACAACGTTAATGTATGGAGTAGAATAACTGAAACAGGCGTAAATAGTCCAGTGGATGAGAGGGAATCCTTTCAAATTGGATTTTTGTGTCCTTATTAAGGTCGTGCTGCACTACAGACACAAACGCTTTGCGTTGAGCCGCGCGTGCATCTCAACCGCGGACGAGGACGGTGGCGTATTTCCACTGACAGGTGAGTTGTATTCTGTACGTGCCGTTGGCATCTGTATCTATATCTCTAACTGTATTGAAGATGAAGCCTAAAATGAAAACGGTAGCATCAGGGATGGTGTTGCGTCACGGGGGGTCGTCTGCCTGTCTCCAGCTTGGTACCACACTGCCAATATGATGCATGACGCCATTACATCTAAAATAACGTGCTTATGCAGGATGCTCGGTGTTTTGTTCAGATGTAATCATGCCAATTTGCTGTAAGGATACTCTTCTATTTGATGTCTTATGCAAACTGTGGGATGGAATAATATATTTTCATGTGATGGCTCATCAATATTTAGAATTATGCTCTGCCAGTTAGACCAACAATATTATTGAGAATCACAACCATACAGTAACTGACATCATGATAGACAGCTTAACCAATAAAATACTCTTCAGTTCTCTATGATTCTGATTATATGTAGGCTTTTTATTTTATTATGGTATTTTCAGAAAGAACCAACCTACTTTGTTTGTTTACGTGGCTGTCAGTTTTGTCCTGGAGAGAGACTAGTACCTTTGGAAAGCACCTGTATTTGCAGTAGTTCTACTTTTACATTTGGCATTGTGGAAAGTGTTGAGAGTCCAAGGTACATATTGTAATTATAGATCTAGTTTATATGTTTTACAAATATTTAAGAGTATAGTAATTTATGATGAGTGATTAGCCTCAATATTGATCAAAATGAACAAAACAAAAACAAACAAAAGTTGCAAATTTTCCATGTACCTCTCTGGCACACACTGCGCTTCTGTCTTTGCAAAGGCTAATAAAAGATGTCACTACATATTCTCCAGAAGTGGAGCTTAATTCTAAGGCCTCCTATAAGCAAGATTTTCTCCAAATAATATATTTCAATTAATTAACCATAGTTTAAGATGAATGTAATGTAACAACAACAATAATAGTCATCCTCTGGCTCCTTTGGAAGTTTGCTGAGGCACCAAAGTTGAGAACCATTACACTACCCAAATTGTTTGTCAGTTGCAGAGTCAAATAGAATGATCCAATTGTATTTTCTAAGTTATACAAATAGCTGTAAATAAAATTTGTAAAGTTATATTGTGTTTCAAATAAACAGTTTGTCCAGGAAGGTTACATACCTGGGTGTAATAAGAATGATCAACTTTATTACATAATTCCTAAAGTATTAGTTAATGTACTCTCAAATAGAAAGTTCAGATTATAACAGATTATGTATTATTAAATATTATACTTATCTGTTAAATATTAATCTTAATGACTTTAGATGAGTAATGAATGTCATATTTACTTGGGCAGAGCTTGCAGACTGAATTTATTCCATTTGCATTTCAATTCTTTGGCACCTCACCTCATTATCAAATAGTGGTGGGACTGTGTTATGTGTAGTATAAAGTTGATTTAGCTCTGCTATCTTAAATCAACTTTTAGGTATTTTAGCTAGTAGGTATTTTTTTTCTTATCCTCCATATTAATTATCTTTAAATTGCTGTGTTTTGCTCCTGTACTGGAGTGGATGGCAAACCTTGTGCTAGAGATTGTGCTATGTGAAGCCAAAAATCTGCTATACTATATTTTGTTGTTTGTTACGCCTCCGTGAAATCTGCTGTCTACTGCAAGTGCTGATGAGAAAATCTGTTATTGTTTCAGGAGCAACCCATGTTTTCTGTTTGTATGAGATCTTGGAGTTTTGTGTGTAGCTTGACTGGTAGAGCACAGCACTAGCCAGGTCATGGGTTCAATTCCCAGGGAGCACTGATATTGATAAATTGAATACCTTGAATGCACTGTAAGTCACTGCCTGTCACATGAAATAAGTGTATTATATTGTTGAGATTCATACTTTTGCTACCAGCAAAAGAGAGATGTACAATACCACAGGTTCTTTGGAATCAGAAACAAGAAATATTGACAATGTTGAACATGTCGGACATCCAATGTGGCAGATTGTTGCCTGCAGACTGCTCTGCCCTCATGTGTATAATATAAAAAAAGATGAACAGTGCACACATTACAGCTCTTTCTGTTGCCATAGAAACTATAGATGTCTCAACAGCAGGTGATTCAGCTCAGATGAAACAGGGCAAATTCACACTGTGAGTTTTTAGAGTATATTGTTATACTTAGGAGAATATTGTTTCCAATAACAATTTTATTTGCTTAAATATATATTTTTAAATTGGTTATTTGAGCTTTTTGAGCAGTTTTAAGTTTTATGACAAAAGTTTGTCACTGTACCAAAAACAATGCACAGAAGCACAGGCCTGTAACATTGGTAAACCTCTTCTTAATACGCATCGGCTTAAGATATATTCTATTGAAGAATTTGGAATTGAGCTCATGGATCCCAAGGGAGGTACATTTAGGGTACATGTTATCACATACAACAGTTCAGTTCATTATCTTCAAAGTTTTGACCAATGTCCTTCTCCAAGACTTTCTTCAGTCCCAGCAAGGCAGAGGTGCAATTGCTATTATGTCCTTGATACTGATCCCTTTAGACAGATTGGATTTAATAAAATGTCTTCTATCTCTGTTATGTTAATTTTCAACTCTCCTTTGTCTATCTTTAATTTTAAAAAATGTCGCAACTTGAAGATATTTGTAAAAAAAACTGACTTTCGTCAATTATATTGCTTCATATAGAGAAAAAATTGAGAGATTCCCAGTTTCAGCCATATCGAAAGCCCAATATTCTGTAATATTAAAGGGATGGTTCACCCAAAAATGAAAAGTTGTTCCAATCCAAACCTCTATGTATTTATTTGTTCTGCTGTACACAAAGAAAGATATTTGGAAGAATGTTTTAATCAAACAGATCTCAATCCCCATTAGTATGTATTTTTTCCTACTATGGAAGTCAATGGGGATTGAGATCTGTTTAAGAGGTTCTGAAAGTGCTGTATCACTGCTTACAGAAGGTTGTGAGTGACAGACCCAAATCACTGCTGCTTTATTGTATTTTCTCATTAGCCAAATATCTTGTTGTGATTACTGTCTTTTCTGGTGTTAAGGCATTCCTGCGCTGTGTCGGAGATGTTAGCATGTCTCTAATAAGATCAGTCACAAACATGATCCCTGCACGATCTCATCTATAGCATCTTATTAACTCACTGTCATCTATTGTCTGCAACACATTTTTTCTCCCTCTTCATCTTTCTGACATTTTCCCCTCTGCTAAAGAAACTCTTTAAGCCTCTTAAAAGTCCGCATCCGTACTCCTAACAATTTTAACCTTAAGACCTTTTGTAAGTGTTAAGATGCTTCAGATGCTGAATTACTTTTTTCTTTACTAGGATTTTTTCTTTAATTTTGAATTTTTCTTTAATCTCTCTCTCTGCCTTTTTAGAATTACACTTCACTAGGGCCTCCACAAACATGTCATTTTATGCATTTCAATGACATATTACTTTTGTAGGACACAGACATATTTAGATTTCCATGATTTGTTGCGTCTGTGCTATGTTCCGCATTATGGCCCTGTCATCTAACATCACCATGATCATTTCGAGGAAGCTTGTGCATGAGAATTGACGTCATCCATAGCAACGAAGACTCACTCATAGTTTAGGAGTTGTCATTTCTCCTCACTAAGTGTAGATCTGAAAGGCGTTGTGAAAAAAAAAAAAAAAAAAAAAAACTTTTAAGAGAAAACTCCTATAGTTAAAATATTTTAGTGCGATTTAGAAGTACTCCTAGTGGTAAGATAAAATTATTTTAATTATTTGTGAATACGGCCCCAGGTTTTCGAATTGATTTTGATTTTTATCTATTAGAGGGGTAAAATTATTGTTAAAAAGAGCATTAAGTGAAGCTGTGATAAAAATACCAAGATATCTAAAGCCATCTTGTGATATTCGGAAAGGGGGTATGATTTTAGGTATTCTAAAGAGGAGATATTTAAAGTTAATGCAATGGATTTCGAAAGATTTATTTTATAGCCAGAGAGACTACTTTAGTAAGAAATACATTACAACAATACAGGAATAGACTGGTCTGGTTTAAGCATAAATATGAATACGTCATCACCAGCATACAACAATGCGCAATGATCTTCTCCTCCCACTGCAATGCCATGGAAGTGTTTGCTCTGTCTAATAAGTTCTGCTAGGGGTTCAATGACTAGAGCGAAGAGCAAAGGTGAAAGGAGGCAACCCTGCCTTGTGCCTCTCCCTATATTGAATGAATCTGAGGTGAGACTGTTTGCGACCACTGCAGGATTAGACTAAAGCAATGCCACCTATCTGATCAAATTATCCCCTAGGTTAAATTTCCTAAACAAAAAGTCCCACTCAACTCTGTCAAAAGCTTTTTCAGCATCATGGGAGAGAACAAGTGCATGGTGCCATTCCTTTTGAACAAAATTTATAATATTTAACAGTCTGCATATGAAGAGTTCAGATGCAAAAGCCTCTAAATGCCATTTGAAATTTTCTTCTAAAATGACCATTTTTATCAAGCTTGTATATTTAAGTTCAGTAATTTCCCTTAAATTACAATTAAAAGGTAATCTTCATTGCCATTTAAGTGAAATTACTGAACTTAAATATGCAAGCTTGATAAAAATGGTCATTTTAGAAGAAAATTTCAAATGGCATTTAGAGGCTTTTGCATCTGAACTCTTCATATATTATCAGTGCTGTAACGCGATTTCACAAACCCTGTCTGATTTGGTTTAACAATCTAAGGTAATATGCTCTCTAACCTACATGCCAGGGCCCGTTTTCACAAAGAATCTTAATACAAAGAGTATAGCTCCTAGTGACAAAATTCAAAGAAAATTCTTAGAAATGTGGGCATTTACTCTTAAAATGAAAGAAAAATCCTAGTAAAGAAAATACTAATTCAGAAAGCATCTTAACCCTTAAAAGAGGTCTTAAAGGTGCATTGCGAAACATTTAATTTTTAATTTCGTTTTTTTCTAACCCATACATGCTCAAAGCGATTGCCTCTATAATCCTGTACAGTAAAATAAATAAGAGGGATTTGGGACG